GTCTGTTAGACCTGCCATCGAATGCTCAAGCGGAGAGGAAACACGCCGCCTATCTTGAACGAGCATGAAAAGATGCGAGGGAAAGAGTGGTCACTCAAATAGCAGCCATGAATATGATTCCAATAAAGGGCGTGGTTGTGATAGCTGGGGGGTGCATTATTGGCAAGCATCAGTGCATGGTTCGTAAACCGTTCTGCCTGGCACGCTCTCAGCGGGAAGATATTGTGCAATAAGAGCATTTCTTCCTCGAGTTGCCGTACTTATTTTCTTACACCAGCATTGTAGTTGCGAGCGTGACGATGTCGAATCCAAAAGAGTTAGCTGTCAGCCTTCGTATTGTCACAGGGTTATGATGTTGACGAAGGCAGGAGCCGTTGTTTTCATGAGCGAACCTTTTATTTGAGCTAACCTGTGCCTGGACAATGAAACGTCACTTTACAAACAATATGCGTTGCAGACGGACAGCAGCAAACATAGAGCGTCGATCGTCGATTATCTGCCATGCAGCAAAGTGCATCACCATTTATACAAATGCCATTGAAGATTGCAGCGTTATCGCTAGCGGCTGCATGTGAAAGTTCCAGGACAAACTCTAATGTACCGGTTGTGCACGTTATCTGATCGGAAGGTTCTATGAATATCTACAATAGATGGTTCTGCGGTCATTCGGACGTGGTTTGCCCAAGGCAGCGTTAAACGCGTAATGATGTGGTAACAAAAATAAAAAGAAACGTGTGCGGTATTACCATTAGAACATTACAAATTGATGCTATTGCCATAATCGCTTTCTCAGTGAAACTAATTTTTATTTTTTTTCTGTTTATATGATTTGATAGTCCCGATCGTAGAGGGTGCGTGGTGCTTGGCGGTTGCTCTGCAACGGTGCGGCCAGTTTTTTTTTTTTTTGCAACATCACTGCTGTCTTTATAGTTTCACTAACATATTTCCTATCAAAACATATGTAGTTGCATAATGAGGTATGCACACAAATGCCACCTTAACAAGATTCATGAATGAACCGAAATACGACGTGACCGCACAAATCTGATATGGACGCGGTTGCGTCCTCTGTTTAGCCCACGCATGTTGCTCGGTCGATGATAAAACTGGACTAAATTTGGCATTGCATGTGCAAATGGCTGTTAGGTGCAGCATTTCCATCCCTGGTAACTGACTAGATTCTCAGAGAAGGCAAATGCACGAGGAGGAGATAGAAAAGCTAGGGGGGGGGGGGGGGCGATGAGATTTTAAAAAAATTGGAACATCCTTCCAAAGGGAAGCTCATGGGATGCGAAGCAGTAGTGTTGAGCACAGGTGGTGTCATGGGTTGAATGGCCTTAATGCGGGTGCTGCAGTGTGCGCTGAAAGATTCGTTTGAAGCGATGGCTGGCATAGGTCTTGTAGGTGATACGTACACACATGTTCCAACACGTACATTAGGCGCGCGTCAGGTTTATTGCGCATAAACCGACGAGTTGGCGATGTAGCAAGTGGCGGTCGCAGCAGGTGTTGCGGGTGCCCCAGCGAGCGCACGGCGGATGAGGGAGAACGAAATCAGCACGCACTGCGAGAGGGGAGCGTAATGTTAACGTGCAGCATCGACGTGACCTACTTGGCACAGCACCAACGCCTGCGGCGCAACGCATTCGTACAGAGGGACAGTGTTAACAGGCTAGTCAAAAAGCTGCTTCACATCTGAAAGTTTACAGGTACAACATGGCAGCAGAAAGCACAAGACCGAGTTAATTGGCAGAACATGGCAGAGGTCTCTGCCCAGCAGTGGGCGCAGCCAGGCTGATGATGATGATGACCACTGACAACGGCGTACAGTATCTTGTGCTATCGGGCACTATTTCGGACAGCAAGCGACATCATCCAAATCAACACTGCATTGGAAGCATATTTCATTGTTTTCGAAACATTTGCCGATGAGTATTCAGTAGAAAAGCTGTGGAACTTGTTTAAAGACAAGATCCTCGAGCTGAGAAACCGATTTGTTCCGTCATGGGTGCTGACCAGAAAGCGTAATAAAGGTAAACTAGGGTTTTGTAGAGAACTCGACGTTTTGGTCAAGCGTAGGCAGAGAATTTACCATTCACTTCGAAAAAATCCCTTGGAAGAGAACTCTTCCAAACTGAAGCTGGCAACGCATGAAGTAAATAATGCTACAGTCGAAATGAAAGCTGCCTACTTTAAAACAATTGAACGTAAAATAACGCGAAACCCAAAAGAACTTTGGAGGTATATCAAATGAAACAAGAAAGACAACATTTCCATTCCCGCTTTGACCAGCAGTGATATTACCGTGAGCGATCCGACAGAAAAGGCCGAGTTGTTTAATTCATATTTCACGTCAGTGTTCTCAGCCGCTACTGACCCAAAAAGACTTGAAAATGTTGACACATGAATCCATATCCATGCCTGATGTAGTACTTGAAGCTCGTGGCATTCAATTACTAGTTATAGATCTATATTGTGTAAAAGCATTGGGTCCTGATGGCTTGCCTAATTTTATCTTGAAGTCTTCTTTCCATGCAGTGTCTATGTACTTGAAAGTTATTTTTGAAAACATGTTACAACAGAGTTCTCTTCCAACTGATTAAAAAATGGCGTCTGTTGTTCCTATACATAAACCTGGCCCATGCAATGCTGTGAATAATTACCACCCTATCTCACTCACTTCTGTGTGCAGTAAAATTCTTGAACGTATTTTATATACTGCGATTGTAAAGTACATAGATAGTAATTCCTTATTCAACTCTAACCAGCATGCATTTAGCCAGGGGCTATCATGCATCACACAAGTGGTAGAGTTTACCCATGTTTTAGCAGCAGCACTGGACGACAAATTTTCAGTCGACTGCATTTTTCTCGACTTTCAAAAAGCGTTCGACACTGTTTTGCACTACTTATTGCTGCAAAAACTAACTGGTTTTAATATTAATCCCCAAGTTATTGCAGGGATTGCTGAATATCTACATGAGAAGAGACAATATGTAGTTGTAAACGGCGAACAGTCTGATATAACTAGTGTTACGTCACGGGTACCTCAGGAATTAGTTCTGGTACCATTACTTTTTTATTATATATAAATGACATTAACGAAAACTTACAATCCTATAATAGGCTATTTGCAGATGACTGCATATTATATCGTCGAATTACCTCTGAAATTGACTACTCCGTAATCCAAAATGACCTATGTGCAATATACGCGTGATGCCAGCGATGGGAAATGAAACTGAATCTTAAAAAACTGTATGCATGAGGTTTTCCAGAAAAAAAAAAACCTGGTAAATTTGAATACACAATAAACGGCTCTCCGGTAAAAATGGTGCGCGAATACAAATACCTAGGTGTTTTCTTCTGCACCTCTCTATCATGGAATTGGCATGTGGATTACACAGTAAATAAAACTTGTCGGAGCTTAGGATTCCTAAAAAAAAACACACGTGCTTTTCCACTGCAAACCCGGGAGGTACTATACAAGACATACATGAGATCAGTACTGGAGTGCGCATGTTGTGTGTGGGACCCTGCAATATCTTCAAATAAAGAAAGATTAGAAAACGTTCAGTCCATGGCGGCAAGATATGTGTTTAATGCATGTATGTACGATAGACAATTCAGTGTGACGGAAGCTAAACTGAAGTTAAAATGGAAGTCTCTGCAGCCGCGAAGGACATCATTTTGACTGAAGCTATTGCAAAGCATATTTTATTCACATACTGTACTCGAATTGCCCGTGATGTATACATCAGCCGGCCTCACTACATTTCAGACCGAAATGATCATGAACACAAGATAAGAGAATATAAATGCAATACATCATCCTTTAGCAACTCTTTTTTTCCCGAGAACTATAAGTCAGTAGAATCGACTTCCTTCCACAGTTCTGCAAATTTCTTCAACGGATGCGTTCTTTTCTGCAATAAAATGATTGAATCTTTCAACCGCTAATCCCTAAAGACTATGTGTGTGCGCCTGGTAGTCGCCATGATCTGTATGGTATCTTGATTGTAAACTATGTTGTTTTGGGGTTAATTTGCCCTTGGGCTAACTGAATGCTGCACTTTGTTTTAATTATCATAAAATTTTGATCTATTTTGTGGTTTCTGCATCTTTTTCTCTAATACGGATTACTTTTCAGACGCAGCTGTGCTCGGTGCAGCTGTGTATGTTTTGTGTATTGCCAAATCTACTTCTTTTCCTCTTTTTTTTTACACAAACTTATGTAAACTTATGTAAGCCTGCAAATTTTCATGTTCTTTCTTGTACCCCCCCCCCCCCACTATAATGCCTGTATGGCGCTGCAGGTATTAAATAAATAAATAAATAAATAAATAATAAATAGATGACATAGCTGTTTCTGTCTGCATTGATGCCGAGATCATGGCTGACGTTGCCAGTGCCGCGGAGATGTACTACCTGTGCCGTTGCTGCCTCCAACCAACCTTTTATCGCAATACTGCCTTGCATGATGTTGAGCATCAATCAATGCTGCTGTGGTCGAGGGAGCTGAATGTGCTATTTGTAAAGCTGCAACGATATTGAGGATGACTGGAACTTGGTGGCGGCTAAAAGCCAGACAAGCTTACGAACTATTTTCATGTAAAATAAAGTGCAGTAACTTACAAAGTTACCATACCGTGAGCGACTCATCATGTTAGCACTTGTTAGGATTTGAAAACTGTTTCGAGGCTTGAAATGCTTCAATTTAAACCTTACATAGGCATATTTTGTATTTTGAATTATTAATATACCAACTATTTCGCGATCCCTTGAGTTTGGTATATCTGGGATCGACTGTAGAGCGGTAGACTGTAGATGCAGCACTTTACATGTCTAGAGCCTGAACATCTCTGGCACGTCGTAGCATAGACAGCAGGACGCGCATATGAATTTCTATTCAAAATGGCGCGGGATAGTGTTGCCCCCTTGTGGATCAAGATCAGTGATTTTACAAGCATGGTCTGGGAAAAGGTACAACACAACAGAACTCACTGGATGAAGTCAAACTTGATGGTGGAATGAGCTGCCTGAATGAGAGCCCGAGACACCAGAGCATGCACGAGGCCTGAAGGAGACAAAACACTCGCATTCAGACAATAAACCTTACATAAGACAACTGACACTGTGTAGTGCAAGGTGAGTAGGAAAGAATAAAAAAAATTAACTTGAGTCACTTGATGCAGACAATCGTATCATGCCAACCCCGCGAAAGCACTACTTACGAAACCATATACTGTGTATTATAAAAAAATGAGCATATCTGTCATGGCCCAATATTAAAAAAAATGGAAACAAGTACAGTGGACTCTCACTAAACGGAAATTTGTTAAATGTAACTACTGCTTAAACGAAATTATTGCCTCGGCAATGCTTGTTTTCAGACTTGTATTCTGCATTCATGTTCATCTCTCAGTAAGTTAACAGAACTCCTGTTAAATGGAACATATTTTCCTGGTCCCTTCAGTTCCATTTATCGAGTGTCTACTGTATGCGCAAATGTCATTATTTCGGTCAAAAAGAGCAAGCCACTTTGAATAGTAGCAGAATTTGACTTTCGTTATAATGCAACTGATAACCTGCAAAATATATTATGTTTTAATAATTACTATAACCTTGAGCATATTGGCCAGTATAACAAGCTTTTAAACTAAAAAAAATTATGAACCGATGTGAGGGTAATGAACATATTACCCTCACATCGATCCATAATTTTTTTCATCATATTACCCTCACATCGATTCATAACCTTGAAATGAGGCTTTGCAGCAGTGCAGATTTTCCCTATATTCATTTCATTTATTAACCCTAAGGGCCCACAAATTGGCATTACATAAGGGGGAGGAAATACAATATATTGCATAACAAATAAATGAAACCAAATAAAAACGTAACAAGCACGGAAAAAGAAGAATGCAATAACAAGTAAACACAATGGAAACACAATGTAAAAAAAGGCAAGACAGTTCAATAATACGTCAGGCAGAGTGGAATACATGCAATGAATAAATATAGACAGGATACAATTTAGATAAGAAACGCATGGATAATGAAATTTGAATAAGACAATTGAGCTAGTATAGCAGGACTGCTCACTAAGATAATATAGCAGGGCTGGTTAAAAACCAGTCATTTCTTTAATGTTTGTAATGATGTGCAGAAAAGTGTTCCACTCGTTTATCAATAACACCAAAGGAGGGCATAATATTTTCAGTGCGAGCGAACACCTGATGTACCTCGTGATCGGGGTCACATCAGGCTGAAATGTTCACGGCTTGATGAATGAATTTGCATAAAAAAGGACTGTAGCTAAAGCAAATGCTGTGAAAGAATAATCTCGAATATTTTCTGCATGTTGCAAGCAATAGACGGTTTCTGTATTTGTAAACAAACTGGCTCGCGCCGAACGGCCTACCCCAGCAGACTTCCGGCTATGCTTTTTCAATGGTCCCGGCGGTGTTTTCGTGGTGTGTTTGAGTTTGATGTTTCATTATTTCTGGCACATTCCTTATGATGTGTTTGGAGCAACGCCTAGCGGTTACATGAAGTAGCTCGACGTAGCGCACGGCAGGTACAGGTGCAGCCACTGCTGCAGGTAACACGGCTTGCGTGGCCGACGGGCGCCGCCTAAATATCTGTCATGGCGTTCCGATGAGCGCGGCCTCCTGATCCATGTTACCTCTGACAGTGGTCTCACCTATACAAACAGAAAATGCATAAAATGCAGAAGAAGTTCGTCAGCGAACTTAATTGGGCCAGTTGGTTCTGCATGTCGACGATGTGGATGCGCTTTGAAGACGCGAACCGGGAATCGACAGTGCACACGCACCTGTCTTTTCCTTGTCCGGATCTTCAAAGTGTTCCCACATTGTCGACATGGAGGAGAAGAGTTGCTCGATTCATAGCGAAGTTGTTCAATTCAGCTTCTCGACTAGAACTGAAAACCTTCCTCCTGTTGAACCCCGAACATATTTTTGTTTTTGTCTAAGCACACAACCTCAGGATAAAAAGCTTATTTCTGCGCCTGTGTCACACTGGGCACTTTTTAGAGAGATCAGCGGCAAGTGGAATCGCTCGTGATCCGAAGTGTTTGTGTGACTGAGAAATTATAAAATATACTGATGTGTTGACATCAACTGCGGCTGCAGGCTCATGCGAGCTGTTGTGGTTTACTCAAGCGTAATTAAGCTATATTCATGAATCAAACTTTCAAGTTGAACCCACCTAAACCTACAGTACATGTTCACACCCAAAAGATAAATTAGCTATAAAATGCGGCGATGTCATTAGCAGCAGATAAACAGGCAATGAGCCATTTGCTCAAACAGATGAGAGCCCAATCTCCGGCGACGCTTTAAAAAAAAATCAAATGCAACGACAACGAAACATGGACACCACGACATACACTGCTCTTCGATTCATGTTAAGCGTGGCTATATACTTTGTGTCCCGTGTTGTTTCGAACAGTACACATCATTAATATCGCTCAAACTATAAATAAAACACCTTTGCGATGGATATTCAGTGTTAGCTTTCACATTTTTCGACCCAATTCAGGTGTCAGTACACTTATCTGCAAAGGGTGGAAGACGACTGTGACTGATGTGTTGCCGGCAACCCGGTGTTTTCAACTAGTCTAACGTCCGAGTATCGCCTCTGTGCCATTGGTCTGCGCTCAGCTTTATATTACCTTTGATGATGTGGGCAGAAAAAACCTACGCGCTCTTAGTGGGAATCACGGGTGGGAATCCAGTATTCTCGCATGATCGCTGCAATGCAAAAGCACTTGCTATCGTCATCGAATGGAAAACCGAACGTTTTGAATAACCTATAAAAGTAATTTAGACATGTAGACTGCATCCTGGCTTGACACAGCTGTGCTCGAGTTGCCAGCGCTTCGTCGGAATAATTTTATCCGCATAAAACGTCAGAACACAAGTAGCCGCGACCAGAAAACAAGCTAAACCGGATGTTTCCAGGGGTGTTTTCTGGTGAACGCACAATGTTGCCAGAGACCGGCAGGCTCTGGCGACATCGTCTATAAAAGTGCCAAGAGGACGAAGCACTGAACCTGGCGGCTCTATTTTGAACTGACTCAAGCATGTCAATAAGGTGTGCTTGATGCGGATGCTATATGTTAGAAGCATACTCTTGGAATGAGCAAATTAAATTGCCTAAAGTTTAGTGTCTGTAATAGCCAGGCATAGGCAGCGTTTTAAAATGCCTGGCATGCAAAATGCTGTGCTGGTAATTATTTCTACATAAAGTAATATATAGGACTGTAATGCAGGATAACACCGAAGTACTTGCTGGATGATGCCGTTTTAATGGAACAGTTGTTGATGAGCTATACATAGGCGATAGACTAGCATCTCGGCTAAATTTAACATGCATTTGCTATTTGCTGCACCATTGGTTGATATTTAGCATATTTATTCCTCTTCCCAAAACCACCATTTGATTATGAGAAACACCATTGCTGCACCATTGGGAAAGTGTAGTTAAGTGATATTGCTGAGTTAAGATGTAGTTCTGGTTAGCTATTTCTTCATATACTACACAGTCATCAGCTAAAAGTCGTACGACAGACTGTATGTCAAAGAGCTAGTAAACAACCCCGAGGTCCAAAAATTTTAATAGAGAGAGATATGTGCAATTTTGTATCTAAACATGCTGCCCCAAGAATTTTGCAAATACGTCCTTGATAAGGAAGTTACAGGGGTTAGAACGTCCATTTCAGCCGGTTTGAAATTTTTATGCGGCCCATCACCACTCTTCTCCACAAAGGAGTAGCCCGTCGCCGTGGCTTTGCCCACTTCGGCAATGTGACATGACGTCCAAGATATGTCATCGGCACACAACCAACGACTAAGCAGGGCTTCCCTACAAGAGCAAGTGTCATAACAGCGTGGGCATCCCCTTGCGGTAATGTAGTGAGATGCCTCTTTATCTCGGAGACTTTCGTTCTGGCAATACTACTTCTTCCAAAGTCTCGGGCTATACAAAACGGCAGAGGGCAGACAAGAAAAATGAAAATGCGGACTATGTGACTGAAACTGCCCTGCCGATGGGCCAAGGTGCCATCTCATAGGACAAAGAACCAATCGACGGGCTCAGTGGTGCGTAACGTTGCCCATAGGCAAGCTTTTATCAGACTGCGTGTATTAGGAGGATTGGTCAGGTAAGAAAAACAGGTGCAAGATTGTTTTTCGGAATGGAGGGTCTGCACCGCCCACAGCACTGTAATATCAGAAAATGTGATCATCGCGGTCTACTGTACAAATTGGGGAGCCTATTTGGTGGCGTTGCTATGACCGTCGTCAGTAGACACCATGCTGTCGCTGAGAAACGTAGCCGGGCAGCGCTCCCACGCCTGGAACCCCAGTTCTCTCGGAACCAACGTCCAGCGGCAAGGAGCGAAAAAGGGATTAGAAGACGGTCCGGGAGCCAATGTCCCTACAAGCAATTCCTCCGGGCCTGCTTGTTTGGCGAGACGGCGAAGCAGACCAACTGTACAGGTCATGTCTCCGCGATTCAAGTGTTTACTCCTTGGCTGCCCTTCCTGGGAAAGGCAGAAGAAGCAACCCAACCGCCAAATTGTTTCGCCAAATTTTCCCCTATTCTCAGAGCATTGCGTCAAAAGGGGCAATAACTATTCGGCGGACCATGTGCTACTGAATTATGCCCTGTGGGTGGTGTCGTGTGTGTGTGATTGACGTTCCAATCAAGGAGGAGGAGCTTGATAGGGTTTAAAAAGATGCTGCAGAATGCAGGACGTGGCTCTGAACCATGTAACGGTTCAACCACCACGCTCGTGGTTTGGAAAACTCCCAACTTCTCTATGCTGTAAATAAGTGTAAATAGTGCCACAAACCTGTGTGTTTTTCATATGCCCATCTTGTCAGCGTTCGCTTCCTCAACCTGAAGTTACGCCACGCTATCGCAAGAGACCGGGCAGACCCCGGTCCGCAACTACTGGTGATCAAGGCTGGAATTCGGAGCGACAACAGGTGAACAGCATGGAGAGCCACCACAACAGGTTGGCAGCGGTCGGATACGAAGCTACAA